CTGCTTTCATCAGACTTACACAACACATGGTGCGCTGCAGGGCCATGTCAGCTAGTGACAGCTGCAGAATGGGCTCTCTCTCGCTCTCTCGCTCTCTCTGTGTGTGTGTGTGTGCGCTGCTATACTTGCACCGAGACAGATATATGAGCGCACTGCTTTTAATCACAGTATGGTATTTATATATTAGTCACTTCACATGTGAATGCAGTACCTTGAGGTGCAGTGATTTTATTGCAGAAGTTGCTGGATTTTAAAAGCTTGGGTTCATGTAGGCATGATTCCTCGCAGAGAAAAGGTGCGGTCACATTTAGCGTTGTTCAGCGAATTTTTGGAGGTGAAATCCGGTCATTTTTATTGGGAGTCCATGTGATTTAGGAATTGTGAGTTAGTCATGCGGAATAGAAAGCTGCTTGTGATTTGAAAGTGACTTTTGTGTGAGCTGACTGATGAGCCACAACCTTAAAACCACCTGCCTATTATCCTGTAGGTCCCCCATGTGCTGTTAAAACAGATCTAATGTGTTGAGGCATGGACTCCACAAGACCTCTGAGCGTGTCCTGTGGTTTTTGGCATCAAGACATTAGCAGCAGATCCTTCAAATCCTGCAAGTTGCGAGGTGGGGCCTCCATGGATCGGATTTGTTGGTCCAACACATCCCATAGATGCTTAATGGATTGAGATTGGGGAATCTGGAGGCCAAGGAGACACCTTGAACTCTTTGTCATGTTCCTCAAACCATTCCATTCCAGTTTTTTGGTGTGGAAGGCTGCATTATCCAGCTGAAAGAGGCCTCTGCCGTCAGGGAACATCATTGTCATGAAGGGGTGTGGTCTGCAATAATCTTTAGGTAGGTGGTACGTGACAAAGTAACATCCACATGAATGCCGGGACCCAATGTTTCCCGACAGGACATTGCCTAGCGCATCACTCCCTCCACCAGCCTGCCTTCTTCCCATAGGGCAGCATTACGTTTGCCAGCAGTTTGAGCTACAGCAGCTCTTCTGTGTAATAGGACCAGACGGGCTAGCCTTCGCTCCCCATGTGCATCAATGAGACTTGGGCACTCATGACCCTGATGCTGGTTCACCGGTTGTCCTTCCTTTCACTTTTGGTAGGTACTAACTAGGGCTGCATGATTAATCGAAATGAATCCGCACACGATTTGGTAAAAGCTGCGATTATTTATGCGCAGCTTGTCAGTGAAGCACGGCTCTCGCGCGACCAAATATGCCCCGCAGAAATAGATAATGCATGTCATTCCAGGACATCCCTATGGGCATCATAATATTGCTGTAGCTGAATGAACAGAACCAGGTGTTCATTGGGACCGGGAACTGTTTTGGAGATGCTCTGACTCATGTCGTCTAGCCATCACTATTTGGTCTTTGTCAGAGTCATTTAGATCATGGCCATTTTACCTGCTCTCAACACATGAAATTCAAGAACTGACTGTTCACTTGCTGCCTAGTATATCTCACCCCTTGAAAGGTGCCATTGTTACTGTGTTATAAATTCCCCTACACACCTGACTAAAGCATCTCCTAATCGACACCCAAGCCTAGAGTCTCCTAATCAATGCTTACAAATTTATCCTCTAGTGCATCTCCTGATCGATGTCTTGCTGAGTCGGACGGCATCTCGCCCCTTATGAACACTATCACTTGGGAATAAGGTCTCTAGTGCTCCACTAACCTGCTGCGCAGCCGACAGACAGACTCCAGACAATGCCTTTCAATATGTTTTAATCACGGCCGGGAGGATCTCGGATTAATTTCGGTGAGAATCCATAAAGAGTACAACAGTTTTTATAGAATAGGAGCATGGCAAATGTGACATGATTCATTACATCATTTTTCTCCAATAAGATTTGTTCTTCACATGTATAACTCTCTGTTACTAGGTAAAAGCAAATTATGATTCATTGAGCCTGTTGTTGGGGTCATGAAGTTAAATAACAAAACTAGACAGCTGTCCCCTTTTGTTATATTCAGACACACTAACTTTGTCCCAAGTGTTGGGGACTTAGTATTCAAAAGCATATAATTGTTATTCCTGCAAGAAAAACAAAGCACTCGCGTCGCTTAAAGGCACACTGTGGAACTTTTCAACCTTTATAATATATTACCAAAACCCATTGAGATGGTACATCGACTTACAATAGGTTGAATGACACGTCTGCCGTAGCCTGAAGGTGTCTGTATCGCTTTTCCTAGCACTATGTAACTTCGGGGTTCGGGTAGGAACCCGAGCACAAAAAGAACTACAAAATTCGACCGCTTTACGGCATACGTCACTTCCCCCACCACTTCCTCAGATTCTGACGTGAGTGCTCAACTCGCGTTTGATTGCCGTCTGTATGTTTTCGTCATGGCCGAACCAACAGCTACAAGGAAGAAGGCAAAGGTTTTGTCAGAGGACACTAAAAAAAAGAAAAAGGCATAGTGACAAATGAAAAGCCAGGACGAGGATCGCCATTGGTCCAGCGTTCGCTCGCTGGCGTGAGCTACAGGAGGAGGATGGGTGCCCGACCGATGCTAACGCTTGCCTGCACACAAATGCCGTTTCCAAGGTGACACAGATAAATCATATAAGCAGTGTAGTATTTTCTGGTATTCCGGCCACAGCCGATGGTGTTATGAGTGTAATAAAATGCCCACAGCCCATTGTTCATTTCTACACACAAACACAGCCCGCCACAGTGCAGGGCTCGAACAAATAAAATCGACTCATGTCAAATGTACATTAAATGTAGTGAACGTTCCCACGACTCAGTGCCCACAAACACTACACACAACATGTCCCACGGTTTCTGTAAAACGAAACCAACACACGTAAGTTACAGTCAGCTCAGGCCGACGGTGTTTTTAGTGCAGTAAATGTGCCCGGCCCGCCGTCCCGCGCCCACATTCACTCACAGACATGTTAGCACTAAGCCGCTCGCTCTCTCTCAGCAGACTGCTATAAGGGAATCGAGCGCGGCCAGGCTGCCCGCCTCAAACACTGCAAGCACACACAATCTAAAGACACGGGAAGCTGACCCACTGTCTATGGGCGGACCGGTTGACTGTTTGTTGACTTTTGCGACAGTGCTGCGGAGCTTGTGGCCTCTAGGGACGCTAGACGTGAAAGTTACAGGTCGAGCGCCACTAGTGGCCAAAAGTTCCGCAGTGTGCCTTTAATAATATTGAGGTTAAACCACTGGAGTCACATGGATTACTTTAATGATGTCTTTACTACCTTTCAGGGCATTGTCATTAAAAAGATTTTCATTTCATTGTTTTCATTCAACACAAATTTTGTGTTTCGAAGATGAACGAAAGTCTTACAGGATTAAAATGACATGAGGGTGAGTAATGTTTATTTTTGGGTTAACTAACCCTTTAACTAATGTAACCAAATGACATCTAATTGTGAAGTGTTACCATTTTTCTGTAGTAATTTGTCTTTCAATTTTAACCTGCGACTGCATAGCAATGCACTTGAAGCCGCTCAGAACACTTTAGCAACCACATAGCAATGCATGTCAGAAAAAATCTAGTTCTCTTTAAATTTTCATCCGTCACTTCTCTCTCGATGGAAGACTTGACAAACCTCACCATTATCGCACATGTAATTTATAGATGTTTTGTATTAGTATGGGCCGAGTGGAGGTGATTTTGTACTCGTTTCAGGTGAAGTGACACATAGGTCTTAACAATACTGCCGGAAATGATGACATCCGCCTGCGAACAAGTTTGTCTTCATTGCATGGGCATGACATTACTGACTGGTTTAATCCTTAAAATACACAGATAGAAAAAGGTTTTTCTATTTTCCACATTTTATAATCAAAGTTATTGAAGTATGAAACGAAAATGGAATTATGTGAATAATGTAGCGCTCAAAAATGTTAAACAAGCTTTTGAGTAGGTACTCATTTTGAATAAGCAATTACTTCACGACAAAAAAAAAGTATGTTTTATGCAGTATGAATATAATCTGGATGTACTACATTCACCATGTTACCTACCAGCATCAGTTACGTTGCTTCACTTCCATTCACAAATCCTCTCCGGTGTCTTCATGGGATAGTAAAGTGTCCATATATGCACACTTCAGAATCTCACCAGAAGTAGTGGGTCATCCGGGTACTTTTTGCCTACTCTTTTATGAGTACTTCCTTTGTCACATACTGTTTTTCGCCCACTATATAGTAGGGAAGTATGCTATTTCAGATGCAGCCACTCTTTCTCTAACCAGCATCATAAGGTGCATCCTGGGAAGCATTTGAAACAGCACTGAAAGAGTTCACATGAAGACTAGAATTTTGGGTTTTTTTTGGCCGCTTTTCCTTCACTATCTTCAATTAAATTCCTCAACTAAAAAAAAGATATAAATATATATTAAAAATGATTGTTTTGAAAAGAAATCCATTTTGTACCAAAAGATACAAAGCTGTCACTGGGGTGGTACACTTTAGGTACCATTATGTACCTTTAAGGTATTCATTTGCATCCTTCAGGGGTTAAAAAATGTACACGTTTTGAAAAGATACCACCCCAGTGACAGCTTTTTTACCTTTTTTTTTTCTGAGAGTGTACTGTAGAAATCTAATTTCAAGCATTTAAGCATAAATCTTCAGAACAAATCATTTTATAATTTTCTTTTTCACTTAATTAACAAAATGTGCAGGCTTCTGACAGGTAATGACAACACTGTGTCTGCAGTGAACATGCACTATTATTTATGCGGATGACTGCAGTGAGCTTGAGTATATCCTGCTCAGAGCTTTGATTAATGTAATTGGGTCACCGGGGTGTCGTTGTGTCTTTGAATCTTTATTTCCAGCTTTGATTCTGACGCTGTATCTGTGGCATACGGTGCTCTGACAGCATACCTTCACCTCAGACAGGTGTTTGTTCCCATAGAGGGCGGTCAGGGGAGTTTAACAGGTGTAGTCTCAACCCACATTTTCTTGCTCTCTCTCTCTCTTTCTCTCTTTCACTTTCTAACTCACTCTCTCTTTCTTTTTCTCCGCATTTCTCACTCGTACAGGTGATGTGAGAGGCATACAGGGGCAGCTTCTTATAAATTTTGGTAGCTGTGCAGGAGGACCCCCAAAACTGCAGGATTCATATTAAAGCTCCAGATCTAAGTGTCATGCAGTGCAGGTTTATTCTGCCTGAGACATCATGACCTGGACAAACCCTCTGACCCTTCTTTGGCAGGGCTGGGCGAGGCACAGGGACCGGGACAGACCCATCAGGATGGTGGTCTCCAACCTGCCCTTTGAAGATCTGAAGAAACGTGACCAGCCGAACCGCCAGTATGAGGGCAACGCGATCAAAACCAACAAATACAGACTTTGGTCCTTCATCCCTATGAACTTATTCGAGCAGTTCCACCGCATGGCCAACGTTTATTTTGTGGGCCTGGCCATCTTGAATTTCATCCCGGTGGTGAACGCGTTCCAGCCAGAGGTGGCTCTCATTCCCATTTGTGTCATCCTGGCACTGACCGCTGTCAAGGATGGTTGGGAGGATTTCCGGAGGTACCAGAGTGACCAGCAGCTCAACAATATGCCTTGCTTCATATTCAGCAGGTAAACAGTTTGCACGTCATTGGTGTAATAACTGTGAAGTGAAAATACAGTATATAATTAATATTCATAAAATATTACTATTAAAATATATTATAGGGTTGTCAGTTAAACATGTTACTTTAATGTAGCGGTTCTCAACCTTATTCCCCCCTGTTGTACAACATAATATTCAAAGCCCGTTCAAAAAAGATATTTACAGAAGGCCTATTTCTTCTGTAATTATGATAAAGCTGATTATTTTCAAACTTTTATTGACATATTGAATTAATGTAGCTAATAAAATTAATTTATGAAATAAATTAGCCATGCTTCATTTGAACTAAAATGAATTGTTTTAAAACAAGCTAAATTAACACTATAAAAATGTATTTATTCATGCACCCTGCATTCCATAAGGCACTTTCCGACCATCGGATCAATTCTGAAATGCTGAAAAACTAAAGGTGCTAAAAATGAATGCTGAATGCTAAAGAACAGTGAGATGCAACATTTAAATGGTTCATTTACACAACACATTCAAAAATTGCATTAAAAACATATTGCATCCTTAAAGGGTTAGTTCACCCAAAAATGAAAATGCTGTCAGTAATTACTCACCCTCATGTTGTTCCAACCCCGTAAGACTTTCGTTCATCTTCGGAACACAAATTAAGATATTTTTGACTAAATCTGAGAGCTGGATCACTCCTCCATAGGCTTCTTAAGGGATCGAAACTGGCCGGCCCAAAAGTTATGAAACACATCGTTAAAATCCGAGTGACTACAGTGGCTCAACCTTAAGTTTATCAAGCGATGAGAATACTTTTTGTGCGCAAAAAAAATAAAAAAATAACGACTTTATTCAACTATTTATTTCCTTCTCTGTGGGCCTCGAGATTTCACGTAGTGAAACTACGCAAAGCTTCTAGGTTGTACGTCACACGCATCACACACATGTGATGCGTGTGACGTGCAACCTAGAAGCTTTGCGTAGTTTCACTACGTGAAATCTCGAGATGAACGAAAGTCTTACGGGGTTGGAACAACATGAGGGTGAGTAATTACTGACAGAATTTTCATTTTTGGGTGAACTATCCCTTTAATATGTTCCTTGAGGTTCACTTATAATGTTAATACTTTTTTTGCACACACACACACACACACACACACACACACACACACACACACACACACACACACACACACACACACACACACACACACACACACACACACACACACACACACACACACATATATATATGAGGAAAAACTGTTATTTTCAACGCTCATTTTGACCCTCTGTCTGAAATGATTTGTTTTTAAGGGGGAGGTCCTTTAAGGCTTGTCAGTAAACGGCCGCTGTTGTGATTGGCTAACATCATTGCATGGAACAGTATCAACACCCACTCGCTATTGCACACGAGTAGGTGTTTTGAAAACATTATGCGTATAAAACGAACATACACGTGTCAGAAACTGAACGCGGATCTGTATACTGTATCCAGAGTAGACAGCGTCAATGATTATAATGGGTGAATTAATGCTAATAATAAGTGACTGAATGCTATGGTGCGATGATTCGTTATTGTCTCTGGAGGCAGTCATATGCCAATATACTTGCCCATGTGAAGCCACAGACCCCGCTGTGAAACTTGCAGGATGGTTTAATGATACAAAGACCTCTTATATGTATATTTTACAAATTTGATTCTTATGTCATGACCCCTTTAAAAAAACAATAGAACATTCGGAATAGAGTAAAAAGGTAATTCATTTTCTCCATAGGAAAATTGATTTTGAACGGTAATTTATAAAGGTATAAAATGATATCATGGCTTATAACTCTTTAACGAAGACTTAAAAAAAAAAAATTTTTTTTTATAATATTATAATATTTCACTCATGTTTTTCACCACGCATTTTCTGTTTGTGCTGCAAAGATAAAAGCTATGTCATTTAATATCTGACACTCGTAACTAGTTTGAATCCCATTTTAAACAAAAAAGAACTCCAAGATACAGCCATGTCAAAAATGTTACAACCATCCCGGTCTCCCCCCTATTGTTTGAATGCCTTGATTTGACCAAATTTGAAAGCTGAAACATTGTTTCACACCAGAAGTAACTATGTCTTGTCTGTCGGTGCATTGTCAGTGTCCTCTTTGCTCCGTAATGTATGTTTCACTGCGTGAGAAAATTATGTGTGACGTGAGAGAGTAGCTGTGTTTCCATCCACACGTTTTTATCAATTCGATATACCAATTTGATCGCAAAACAGCATGTGACGCACAGGTTTTTACGCACAGGTTTTTATCCGCTTTAAAGCCGTTTGACGGAAACACACTTTCACCAGCTTTATTCGCATGAGGTTTTTTACCGAACTTCAGATAATTCGATTGACAAGTGGATGGAAACATGGCTAGTGTCATGGCTTGTCGAACCTAGCAACAGTAACTAAGGGGGAGGAGTCTTTGCGAAGGGTCAATTGCAAGACACATTTTAAAAAGTCAATCATCTTTTCACTATAAGCCTGCATAGCATCTTAAAAATGCGTCCGTTTATATTAATGAATACTGTACTGCAGATGGGTGCTCATAAATCATTTAGTGTCTGAACAGAACGGTTTCTGCATTCCTTGTTAGGTGTATTACACTGGGAAATTGGTAGAGGTTTTGATAAATATATAAAAATAAATATAGATGAAAGTTGCTGGTGACTATACAGTGACTACATCAAATGTCTCTCTTGCTCTCTGCACTCTTTCTTGCCCCCCCATCCCCATCTTTCTGTGAGCTGTGTCGTGGTGCAGGCTCGCTTGAATTTGTGTTTCACTTCATCTGTGTTTCGAAACCCCATGGGAATTTTTGACCTAGAAATAAAATTTGTGTGGGAGATTTTTTTCCTTCTTTTGAAGAGCAGCACAATGTCTTGCATCCAACGCATTGTGTGCATTTTGACGAGATCCTCATCATTGTGTTGCATCAGAGGGGTAGACAGAGAGGCATCATTTAGATCTATTTTAAAATGACTGAATAGCTGGTGGGAAAAAAGAGTAATTCACCACACTTGAAGAGAGAGAGAGAGAGAGAGAGAGAGAGAGAGAGAGAGAGAGAGAGAGAGAGAGAGAGAGAGAGAGAGAGAGAGAGAGAGAGAGAGAGAGAGAGAGAGAGAGAGAGAGAGAGAGAGAGAGAGAGAGAGAGAGAGAGAGAGAGAGAGAGAGAGAGAGAGAGAGAGATTTCGCAGCAGTCACAGGTACACCCTGAGATATATTTTTACTTCCAAAAGAGATTCCAAATCCATCACTTATTGCCATGGTTACTTAGTCTCTTTCATTTTATTTTGAGCTAAGCCGCTGCTCCATTTTGTGATTCCCGAAGTGTTTCCATACGGGGGAGCCCAGGTGGCCCAGCAGCACAGGGGCAGGAACTGGCTCGGGTCGGTCGAAACTCAAACTGTCCTGACGTGCCTGTCATGCCCAGAGGGGGTGTTAGAAAAACTACCCCTATTGCCATTTCTACACTCTAAAAAATGCAGGGTTAAAAAATAACCCAACCTTAACCACACCGCTGGGTCACTATAGGACAGAACACGCGCTGGGTTGGTTTGACCCAAGTGCTGGGTTTGTCCATTTAACCCATATTGTTGGGTCATTCATTTGACCCAACCAGTGGGTGAAATTGACCATCTTGCTGGGTTAAGTCTTACTCATGTGCTGGGTTATTTCCTGTATCATTGCCTTATTAAAATTAGTAACAAATATTTTTTTATATTACCGTACTAATGTAAAATAATGATTGTCTCTGTAATACAATAAACCAGAGAGGCCACTGTATATGTGATTTCAATCATTTATTTTATTTTTTTACATTTTTAATACATCTTTAATATTTTTTTGTAAACAATTATTACAATTATACAATGTATACTCATTCTAAGGTAAAAAAAACATAACGGTTCATTAAGTAAGGTCTTTATACACCACTGAAAACATAGTTATGTATATGATATTGCATTTCTGTTAACAGATCCTCCTAAATACAGTATTACACAATGCACCTTTAAAAGTCAATAAGAAACTAATTTGAACTCTTATACGATTATGATTTCATTTATTAAGATGTGTTGATTTATTAAGAATAGCTACAAACATTTACAATGCGACTAAATATCACAGGGTTTTCCTCACATTTGACAGAGGACGATTCTTTTCCATTAATTTGATACACTGCTTCGTGTATTTAACATGAAAAACAAAATAAAACTTTGAAACAAAGATCACCAGCCTCCAGCAAAGACTCGGTCTCGATGACGTGGCCTGGAACAATGGCAACGGTCTGACGTGTCCCCCTCGACGCATCCCTGATGCTCCAGTCATTTTGTAAATATTCATCCATGTTGGTCCCCAACTGTTGATTACACACAATCACTTAGAGTGTTGCAATATAACTGTCATGCAAGTTTTTTGTGAAAGTATTTATATTTTTTTTATTGCAAACATTACCAAATATGGCCAAATGTGAAAAACAAACAAAATGTATATTTACACATCTAAATAGACAATTAGCAGTCTAAAATAGTCTGGGATTCAGGATAAGACAAAAACACGATTTGGAAAATGGATTCATGATGTACTCGCTCATTATAAACATTTTGTACATTTTGAACACAAAAAAAGTTATGGACTGCAGCTTTAAAAAATTAACAAAAATCTATTTAAAAAAAATGCAATTTTATGTTGCAAACAGAGACTGCACCTTTAAATATTCTAAACCTAAATTAATTTCATAGTTATCAAGCATATCAAACTTACAGGTTGCATGTCAAGGACCTCTGAGCCTCTTCTGCCCTGGTGTTTAAAATGGCGCTGTTGTGACAATAGCAAAAACTATTTATTGGCCTCAAACATCGCGCACACTTGATCCATGACCACTGTCTTAGTAGTACTAAATTATTCTTAGTAGGCCTACCTCAGGTCCTAACAACTTATAATGGGTTCAGGGCGAGAACATGCTTAATATG